ACCGAGTTTCTCTGTAGTTTTTGGTGCCTGTCTTGAAACTAGCTCTTGTAGACCAGGTTGGCCTCGAACTCACAGAAATCCGCCTGTCTCTGCCTCTCTGACTGCTGGGATTAAAGGCGTGCGCCACCACCACCGGGCCCGTATACTAGTTTTATACTAGCTTTACATTATCGCCACCAATTTATGAGGGTCAATTTCTCCTCCTTCCCTACAAGTTCATAAAACCAGTTTTTCGTTTGTTTATTTGTAAATGGGCTATCCATATATAGAGATCAGGCTGACCTCAAACTCATGATCTCCTGGTCTCAGATCCCTGGATGCTGAGATTATAGATAGGTAAGGTATCACGTTCAGAAAAAAAGGTGAGCTTGGGTTCTACACTGTAACTTTTCTGTAAGTTTGAATTGCTTATTTGTAAATGAGGTCTCCATATATATAGATCAGGCTGGCCTCGAACTCACAGAGATCTGCCTGTCTCTGCCTCCAGAGTGCTGGGACTAAAGGGATGCGCCACCACTGCCACCTATCTAGGGAGCCACTATGTAGCTCCGGCTGTCCTTCAAATCAGAATCGCCTACTTGTGCTTCCCAGGTGCTGGGATTAAAGACGTGCACCACCACACCCTGCCTACACTATTAACCTCAATGATTCTCTACAACGTTACTCTAATAAAATAATTAACAATACTTAGAAGACTTTAAAGAAGAAAAAAAATCACTTAGGTGTATTACTATAGCAATTGTGAAAAAAACTGGAATCTGACAACTGGCAACTGTTTGTAAAAAAAGTTTGTTTGTAGTAAAGCCACAAAAAATGACAGCAAAAATTCTATTTATTATGCTATCTATAAGTTTCTTGGTATATTAAATGAGTAATGCTCTAGATTAATGTGCAGATCTGTTAATACTCTTGGCTATCAGGTTATTACATCAAAAAGACATTATCTTTATGAAGTCAGAAACAAGATAAGAATCACCTTCATTCAACATGACTTGAACATTCTACCTAAAATGATAATGAAAGCCAGGTGCAGGTCTTTAATCCCAGCAATCTGGAGGCAGAGGCAGGAGGATCTCTGTGAGCTCAAGGCCAGCCTGGTTTACAGAGTGAGTTTCAGGATAGTCAGGATTGTTACACAGAGAAATCCTGTCTTGAAAAAAGCAAAATAATGATGATGATGAAAAACACAGTAAAATTACAAATGACATGCTTTCCATAACATACCAAAGTAGACAATTTATGAAACAACTCAAGTTATCAAGACCTATGATAAGCTAAGTATGGTGACTTAGTCTATAATCTCAGCACTTGGGAAACTAAGGCAAGAAGGTTGTACTTACTAGTCTGTGCTAAAGAGTCAGATTCTGTTATCAATAAAACAAAAACAGGCTGGCATTGGCCTATAATCCCAGAACTTGGGAGGTGGGGGGATAGAGGGAAAAGCCTGCACAAGGAGACCCTTTCTCAAAACCAGCAAAAACCAACAAAAGAAACTGAAAACATCCTTCCCTATGATAAAATATACATAAAAAGCAATAATGAGAACAAACAATCTCATTCAAAAATTACTGCAGTAGGGTGTGGTAGTGCTTGCCTTTTATCTCAGTACTCAGGAATAAGAGGCAGGTGATCTGTGAGTTTTGAGGCTAGCCTGGTCTACATAGTGTATTCTAGGACAGTAAGGGCCACACAAGGAGACCCTGTTTCAAAAACAACAAATAAAAAAATTCAAAAGCAAATCACCTCTATAAGGACATAATGAAGACAAATAGACCAGGGCCATAGCTCACTGCAGAGTGTTTCCTAGCATTTGTAAAGCCTTCGGTTTGAGTCTTAGTACTGAGCAAGAAAGGCAACAGACAGCAGAGATTCTGATCTTCTTGTTTGTTTGTATAGTTCTGGCTGGCTTGGAACTTGCTATGGGCCGAGCTTACCTCCAAATGAGGTGTGTGTTCTGGAGTGGAACTGTATTTTCTTATCTCACGTGCCTGCTCTCCTCCATTCCTTCCTTTCTTTATGGAGATAACAGAAGCTGAGCTCACAAGGCAGTTTACTACCTTTTGGCCTTAAATCTTCCACACAAAAAATTTAGTTTTAGAAAAATTTTATACCGTTTATTTAGTATGAGTAGTGGGGGCGGGGGAGACAGGACACTGCCAATGAGAGTGTTTGTGTAGAGATCAGAGAACAACTTGGTAATCCATTCTCTCTCTCTACTTTCCATGGGTTCTGGAGATCAAACTCAGGTGGGTCATCAGGGTATTGTAGCAAGTGCTGAGCTAGCTTATTGATCCAAACATGAGGAACTGTTAAACAGTTCACTAGGAATTATCATTCTTGCCAGTGTGCTGGCACATGCCTTTACGCCCCAGGCCTTTGCTGGTAGGGGTTCAGGCCAGTTCAGGACTATAACTGGTCTCAAAAAACAGGGAGAGCTCTGTAAGTTCCAGGCCAGCCTGGTCTAGTTTCAGAACAGCCAGGGCTACACAAAGAAACCCTGTATTGAAAAACCAATAAATAAATAAATAAGCTACTGAGGTCAGAAAAAAAAAAAGCTTCTCATGCTCTGACTGATGAAGTAGAACATTAATATTGCTCATTATTAAAACAAGAAAATATTCACTCTCCAATTTTTTATTTTAATTTCATGGTTTGAGTAAGAGTCTTTGGCCCAGGCTGGTCTTGAATTTACTATGTAGCCGAGAATAACCTTCAGTTCCTGACCCTTCCTCCTTCACCTCCCAGGAGTCACACTCACTGCAGATTGATTTTTTTTTTGTTCTTGTTTTTTACACAGTTCTCTCTATAAGCCTTGGCTGTCCTGGAACTCACTCTGTAGACCAGGCTGGCCTTGAACTCACAGAGATCTACCTGCCTTGGCCTCTGAGTGCTGGGATCAAATGCATGCACCACCAAGTCTGGCTTCAGACTGATTTCTAATAGTTCCATCCATGTCAATGATGTCTAATATCATAATATTCTCCAACAAAAAGTGACTGAAAGCACATGTAGCTTGGAGGATAGCAGAGAAGACTCAGACCTCCTTATCTGTGCAGCGTTTTTTGTCTACGGCACCCCAATACATCACACAATACTACAATCCACATGTAATCAGGTCTCCTATATAAAGCAGAATGAAAAGAACTTTTTAGAGTTTTTATGACTTTTACCCTGAAAAAATCATGGGTGGCAGTAAGTTTAGAGAGATAAAATCCGAAAAAAAAAAATGCAGATGACCACAAAGAGTGGAAAGGAAGAGATGCAGAATGTGGGAACATAAATTCGACCAAACTTGACTGACTTCTGAATACTGTATGCAAGGACTCTATTCCAAGGAGCGAAGGCTAATTCTGCCCAAGTGCAGTAGTGCACTCCTGTAATGGGCACGACTAAATAAAGCAAAGGAGTCTCCAAGCTTGAGGTTAGTCTCTTGGTCATTGTGAATCTGTCTCAAATTTTTAAAAAGGGGCTAAGAGTCAGGAGTAATCATACATTCCTTTAATCCCGGCCTTTGGAGGCAGAATCTGGAGTTCAAAGATAGCCTGGTCTACACAGTGAGTTCCAGATCAGCCAGGGCTAAGAAACAGCTATCTTGGTCAGTTGTGGTGGAGGCAGAGGCAGGTGGATCTGAGTTCAAGGCCAGTTTGGTCCCCACAGCTAGTTTCAAGACAGCCAGGGCTACATAGAGAAACACTGTCTCAAAAAAAGAAAAAAGAAAGGAAGAAACCGCTGTCCTGCCCTGTCCTTGAGCACAAGAATTTGTTAAATGTCCAAAAGAAAATATATTTTCCTTCTCAGTAATGATATCCTATATAAATACAGAATATTCTGTGCAGGGACTCAGTAAATAATTCCCCCAATGTCATTTTTTTCCCCTAGGGAATTCCTAAGTCAGATATCTCTAAATTGGAGGCTGCATTTTGTGTCATGGACAGTGCTACAATGTAGTTTCTACAAACTAAAGCATTGTAAAATCCTAATCCTAAATATAATCTAAGGAAGAAAAAAAACATTGCTTTTCACTTTTAAAACAAGAGGACAGGCCTAGCAGTGCTTGCTTTTAAACCCAGAATTTGAGAGGCAGAGGCCATGGTATCCCTGACTTCCAGGCCAGCCTGATCTATATAGTGAGATTCCAAGTCGGTGAGCCTGGACTACATGGTGAAATCCTGTCTCAAAGGGAAAAAAAATGACTGAGCACTGGTGGTACACACCTTTAATCAAAACACAAAAGAGGCAAAGGCAGGTGGAACTCTGTGTTTGAGACCAGACTGACTACAGAGCGAGTTCCAAAACAGCCAGGGCTACACAAAGAAACCCTGTCTCAAAGGGGTAGGTTGGTGGTGGGGATTTAAGTCTACATCACAGAAGGAATATAAAAATGCTTTAAAAACAGGGAGCAATAAATAACTCCATGTAGTTCCCAGTACAGATAACATTTTAATATAAACATAAAGGAGTAGTAAAATGATATGGCCTAGAATCTCTCTTCAAAGGATTGAAAATTTTCTGTCTTACTATAAGGCAAAGGCAAAGTCAAGATACAAAATCATATGCAGGTCTAAGTTGAAACACTGCTAACAATTTTTTTTTAACACTGTTACAATAAACTGCGCAGTGGTGGTGCACGCCTTTAATCCCAGCACTCAGGAGGCAGAGGCAGGCCATCTCTGTGAGTTCGAGGCCAGCCTGGTCTACAAGAGCTAGTTCCAGGACAGGCACCAAAAACTACAGAGAAACCCTGTCTCAAAAAAAAAAAAAACCCTGTTACAATAAATTAAAAATTCCAGATAAGAAAGACCAAGCAGGTATAGCCTGTGAGTTTCAAGTCTCACTGAAGGCCATGAACTTACCCTAACACATCTGTAGAGGACAGTGTCAGAAGGCTGGTCTCTCCTGACACTGGAACACTGGGAACAGAACACTAGCAACAAGTTTATGCTTAACATGCAAACACGATGTACCCCACCAACCGAAACAGAATTAGGGCTCAGACGTACCTTAGCAGGAGTTCTTTGGGAAGTTTTTTATTGATTACAGCTTCATCACTGTTTGAGAACATCTGTCAAAAAAAAAAAAAAGTCAATGCATCAGGCATTAACATTTGATCATATTCACAGGTGGGAGACAATTTCCTCTAGAGAAAGGTCAAAAAAGAAAAAAAAGTGTGGAGTCAGCAAAATGATTTAGGAGGTAAATGCTGCCAAGCCTGATGATCTAGTTCAAACCCTGGAGCCACAGTCAGGAGAGAACTGATGGCTGACAGTTGTCCTCTTTTTGGGGGATGGGGTGGGGTTCAATACAGGGTTTCTCTGTAGCTTTGGAGCCTGTCTTGGAACTCACTCTATAGACTAGGCTGGTCCCAAACTCAGAGCTCTGCCTGTCTCTGCCTCCTGAGTGTGCCCCACCACTCGGTGAAGGTTGTCCTCTTACCTTCCTCACAATGGGCATCCATAGCCAGATATAAAGGCCCAAGGTATGGTGGGACAATACACCAGCTTCCTAAATTACCTTAACCTTATATCCACCCAATCTAGCACCTACACTAATCCAGAACCCCTTCCCCTCCAACCTCAAGAGTTCCCTAAACTCTAATGGCAGAAGCCCTCTCCCAGGTCTGTTAAAGGGGCTTTCTCTGTTCTCTGAGTTACAGTTGGAGCTCCTGATACAGACCCCAGAAGTAGGCGGATCTGAGTTCAAGGCTAGCTTGATCTAGACAGCAGTTCCCGGACAGCTAGGACTAGAGATCCTCACTGCTGAACACTGTGACTAGAGAGTGCCATACACACGGAGCTGGAGGACACTGCTGTCCTAAAGCTAACGAGTTCCCCAATCTAGAAACAAAGATTATTCTCCATTTATTTAGGATTACCTTGATTTCTGCCAGTAATTGATATTTTTTTCAGTACATAAGCTTTTAATGTTTATTTCTAAAAGTATTTTATTCTTTTTTAAGCTACTGTAAATGGATCACACTTCATTCTAGGATTCCCCGCTCCAGCATACACAGCACATCATCTTTCCATCCCCTTGTTTTTAACCTTTGTGCCTTTGAGCCCAGTCTCTACACAACATGAAGATCAATCCTATTATCTACTCTCACAACCTAAGCCTTTCAAAAAAATAAACAGAAAAAAAAAACCAAAAAATCTCACTATTGTAGCCTTAGCTGGTCTGGAACTCACTACATAGACCATGATGGCCTTGAACTCACAGGGACACCTACTTTTGTCTCCCAAGTGCTAGTACTAAAGGTAAGAGCCACAGGCCCAGTCACAATCATTAAAGAACAAATGCCTTTTGACTGACGTGTTTAACCTATTTCTCCTTGATTAGGCACATCTCTCAGTCTACGTGTTTCTAAATGTGTTCTTATAATTCTTTCCATTGGAACGGCCCTGAGTGCCATCTCCTGTGTTTCTTTACAGGCCTGAATGGCATTTTCTCTTGGGGACTGTACTTGGTTTTGTCACCAGCTTCCAAGGCACTCAATGGTGAATGGGTGACTTTGCTTTGTTTTTTTTCTAAGATGTGCCTGATTCTCAAAGAGGAAAGAGAAGAAAAGAAAACTGCCTTGGTCACACCTTGATGGTACAGCAGAGCATCTCAGTAACGCGGATAATCCCTCCTTTACTTCCTTTATGCTTTTGAATAGATATTTTCTGTTGTCCATTATAATGCCTTCATTTTAAAGATTTATTTATGTGTATGAGGTTTTCCTGGTTTGTGTTTCTGCACCACATGTATGCCTGGTGCTTACAGAGGTCAGAAGAGGGAGGCTGATCCCCTGGAACTGGAGTTCTGCACAGCTGTGAACTGCCCATGCGGGTGCTAGCAATCAGAGCTGCTCCTCTGTGAGGACAAGTGTCCTTTTCTTCTTTTTTTCCTTTTTGGTTTTTTTAATAGACCAGGCGAGCCTTAAACTCATTGATTCACCTGTCTCTGCTTGAGAGTGCCGAATTAGGGGTATGTGTCACCAGCAGCAGCAAGGAAGAACAGTTTCTTTTTATTTCTTTGTTTGTTCGTTTTTTTCGAGTCAGGGTTTCTCTGTAGCTTTGGAGCCTGTCCTGGAACTCACTCTGTAGACCAGACTGACCTCGGGAAGAACAGTTTCTTAACTGTTGAACCATCTCTCTATTTCCTGATCTTTTTTTCCTTCTGTTTGTTTGTTTTTCAAGACAGGGTTTCTCTGTGTAGTCCTGGTTGTCCTGGAGCTCAGAGATTCACCTGCCTCTGCCTCCTAAGTACTGGAACTAAGGGCACGTGCCACCACCACTTGACTTTAATTTCTTCATTTAAAAAATGTTTTTAAAATTAATTTCCTAATGGTTGCTCTAACAATTCCAGTATATACCCTAACTAGCCACAACATATTTCAGATTGTTCACTTTCTATAAAATACAGAAACAAGAGAGTTCTACTTTTTCCCTTTTCTTTTACAATAATATATTAATCTGATAAACCAAAAACTATAGTTCTTAATTACACAACTGTCTTTCAATTTCGCTAAGACAATGAAAGGACAGTTTATTTATAGTCTGTTATATTTACCTCTGTAACTAACATTCATAGTGGTTTTTCTTCAAGTTACCATCTGGTACCATATTCTTTAAGTCTGAACAAACTTTAATAATTCATGTAAGTCAGATCTGCAAACAAATGTCTTGGTGCTTGCTTATTAGGGATTTAAAAATTTTTCCTCTAATGTTTTGAGCTTTTAAAACAGGGTCTTGATCTATAGCCCAAGCTAGCCTTGAGTTCATATGCCTCAGTTTCTGAATAACAAAGTTTCTCTGGAGAAACAATTATCCATAGGTCTGTGCATCTATGTATCTGTGTGTGTGTGGAGAGAGAGAGAGAGTGAGAGATTAATGCTGGAGATTATTAGCATGTAGAGATGATGTCCATAAGCTCAGGAGCTCTGATGTCCAAGGGTAGAAGAGGGATGTCTTAGAACATGGGAAAGAAAATACCAGAGAAATACTTTATTTCTTATGTAAGTTTCCACAAACCCCTAAAGGTGACACAGATTGATTTTTTTTTTCAAGTTTTAGTTCGAGACAGGGTTTATCTCTGTAGTCCTGGCTGTCCTGGAACTCATTCTATAGACCAGGCTAACCTCAAACTCAGAGATCTGCCTGCCTCTGACTCCAGAGTGTTGGGATTAAAGGCGTGCACCACCACCACCCAGCCAAAAACCTTTTTCATTTTTTTAAAGAGAGAAATTCGTGCAACAATTGTTTTGCAGTGTACATTTTAGTGGGATCTTGGTACATTTTAATGTACTTAAAACTGCTGTGCTATTACCATCTTCCTAGCTCCAGACTGTCCTTATCCCCTCAGAACACTCCGTATCCATTAGGCAATCACTTGGGACAGCCACTGTTTTTCTCCAGTACTGTTAGAGCCCATGTGGCTCCAACAAGCATATGAATTTTCCTATGCCTGGTTACTCCATACAAGGGAATCGAAACATGTCTTGTTATGTATCACTGATCTCTTTTAATAATGGCTCTGAGTCTTCAAAGACCTCGAAAGAAAATATCCAACTTCATATGGAAAAGCAAAAAACCCAGGATAGCCAAAACAATCCTGTGCAATAAAAGAACTTCTGGCGGCATCACAATCCCTGACTTCAAACTCTACTACAGAGCTACAGTACTGAAAACAGCCTGGTATTGGCATAAGAACAGACAGGAGGACAAATGGAACCAAATAGAAGACCTGGATTCAATCCACACATCTTCGAACACTTGATCTTTGATAAAGAAGCAAAAAATATCAAATGGAAAAAAGAAAGCATATTTAACAAGTGGTGCTGGCATTACTGGATATCAACATGTAGAAAAATGAAAATAGACCCATATCGATCACCATGCACAAAACTCAAGTCCAAATGGATCGAAGACCTCAACATAAAGCCAGCCACACTGAGCCTTATATAAGAGAAAGTGGAAAGTACACTTGAACGCATTGGCACAGGAGACCACTTCCTAAATATAACCCCAGCATCACAGACACTGAGAGAAACAATTAGTAAATGGGACCTACTGAAACTGAAAAGCTTCTGTAAAGCAAAGGGCACGGTCAACAAGACAAAACAATAGCCTACAGAATGTGAAAAGATCTTCACTAACCCCACATCAGACACAGGTCTGATCTCCAAAATATACAAAGAACTCAAGAAATTGGACACCAAAAGATCACATAACCCAATTAAAAAAAATGGAGTACAGACCTAAACAGAGAACTCTCAACAGAGGAATCTAAAATGGCTGAAAGACACTTAAGGAAATGTTCAACATCCTTAGTCAACAGAGAAATGCAAATCAAAACAACTCTGAGATTCCATCTTACACCTGTAAGAATAGCCAAAATTAAAAACACTGATGACAAATTATGCTGGAGAGGTTGTGGGGAAAAGGGAACACTTCTGCATTGCTGGTGGGAATGCAAGCTGGTATAACCCTTTTGGATGTCAGTGTGGCGATTTCCCAGAAAATTAGGAAATAACCTTCCTCAAGACCCAGCAATACCACTTTTGGCTATATATCCAACGGATGCTCAATCGTGCCACAAGGACACGTCCTCAACTATGTCCATAGCAGCTTTGTTTGTCATAACCAGAACCTGGAAACAACCTAAATGCCCCTGACAGAAGAATGGATAAGGAAAATGTGGTACATTTACACAATGGAGTACTACACAGCAGAAAAAAAACACAACATCTTCAATTTTGTAAAAAAATGAATGGAGCTAGAAAACATTATTTAGAGTAAGGTAACCCAGACACAGAAAGACAATTATCACATGCACTCACTCACAGGTTATTTTTAAACATAAAGCAAAGAAAGCCAGCCTACAAACCACAATCCCAGAGAACTTAGACAACAATGAGGACACTAAGAGATCTCATCTACATGGAAAGTAGAAAAAGACAAGATCTCCTGAGTAAACTGGGAGCGTGGGGACCTTGGGGGAGGATTAAAGTGGGGAGGGGAGAGGCAGGGAGGAGAGCAGAGAAAAATGTAGAGCTCAATAAATATCAATAAAAAATGTAAA